TCGTCCTCCGAGCTGAGTAATTTAATGGCAAAGGTTTCACCACTTCTTTCAGTGTCCTTTTCAGTGCACCACTGCGTATAGGAAAATTTCACGGAAAATGTCATCGGGACGTAGCGTTTGAAATTTGGCCTCGTCGATCTGTGTCCCGTGACATCTGTTCGATTTTAGGCAGCCCACTTTTACTCTTTCTTAGCTGTATGTACACAGAATCGAGATGGAAACGTTCACCGCAGGAAAAGCAAAGCTCGACAAGCAGCTCAAGGAATAAGAAGCCTAACCGAGCCATCTATAATTTGTATTATTTAATGGCAACGTCGCAAGCTCGATGACCTAAATGATGTTGTGCTTTATCCAACATTATTTATCCAAAAGAACAATGGAACAATGATAATACGGGCGGCTAAGCCCAAGTCTTGACAAGTCCCATGGGATGATTTCTGTGAACTACATGAGTTGCAAAAGATGCCACTAAAGTAAAATGCGCATCTGTAGATTCACCACATTATCCACATTAACACACATGTATATCCGCTTATTTCGATTTCATGTGGGGTGCGTACTATGTTTGTCTGCGTCTTGTCGTCACTTGATGAACGGAATTCAAATCAATTACTGCAGATGCTGTTATGCATCGGCGAGTGGATTTTCAAAAATGGTAGGAGCAAATATGACAAAAGTCGAAAGAGCGTTCAAGGGCCGACAATTTCGTGGGCAGAATAATTCCGTCGGGATTGCAACTGACGGTATTGGGTAGCTAGTTTCAGGTGATGACCCCTAAAGTTGGTGTTGCAGTTAAGTTTCAATAGGTAGCGGCAATCGTGAACGGGGATTTGCAACATCTTGTACGCCAGATTGATGTTACCCCGTAGATGGTGATAACCTCCGCTGTGCACTGCTAGGTCTTTCAGTTGCAGGTGATATGGTAGGTGGAACGATTGCTTCCCATTTTTGGTTGCCATTCGCTGTTCGGTATTTAGTGCAATCAGGTACCGGTTTAACCAGGGTTACCAGGCCCGAATCGTGTATTTAGTTGGCGCCTCATATACGTGTTTAGCACTTAGGAGAAGTTTGTGGGGTCGAACTGTCCGAATGTCCTCCGTAAGAGACCAATATGTTGGTTCCCGTAGTTTTACGCCTTTAAGGACTATGCCGAACATCCGAGGTCGTCTCTCATAACCACCCATAGGTCGCGCTCCTGTGAGGCAGTCTTCAAGATGTGGTTTCCAAGCATTTACGCATTAGTGCGCTTGCAGCTTGCATGTACATTTATGCACCTGCCCAGGTTGAACGGAAGTAGATTTCCCTTTGAACGCTCAAAAGCGCGGTCTAAGCTTCACTGCAGATGGTCGTGATCTGCTTGACAACTGAGTACTCGCCTATCTTGAAGTCAACGGTCATGAACAAGAAATTTGACTCTATGACATGCACAAAGTTGTTAATGAAGACCAAGAATAAGCGCCGCCTCAAAACTAACTCTTGTACAACACCGCAGTCCATATAAGTAAGGATCAGAAAATGAGCCCTGTACCCGAACGTGAAGCCGTCCCTGAGGAAGGAAATTTCAGATCCAACCAAGGTAAGTGTTTCTAATTCCGTACTTTTACAGGTTTTGAAGACAGATGCGGAGATCTAGGCCGTCGAATGCTTTAGAAAAGCTTTAGTAGATGACATCAGTGACCTGTCCCACTAACTGCTAATAACAGCCCATAGCTTCCTACTGACGAGTTCTAAAGGAAACCTCCTGTTAGCTAGATACAAGCCTTTCGACTGTAAACCCGATGGGGCCATATTGCCAATATAAATAAATCACTATTAAAATGAAAATGTTTATTGCCAGTAAAGCAACAACTTTTAGCTGTAGCAATGCGACTTCGTCGTCTTCACACTGCCTATCACCATTTCTATCGTTTACAATATAAGCCGTCCCCGCCGAAGTAAAAAGTAATAGTTTCTTTTGTATTTGTTGGAGTGGTAGTAAACATCTTGACGTTTCCGCTGAAAGTCGTGAGTGCATTAAGTATGCTATATTCAAGAGAGATTCATATACACTCAGAGCTTCTGACAGGTAGTAGCCCTGAAAACTATTGCGTTCCACTTTGTGAGCTCTTGGCACGTCTTCATCAGGCACAAACAAACCGGTATTAACCGAGCTTAGCATTACGCTTTGAGTATTACGCTCACTTATACCCGTGAAAGTTGTTACCGGTGGAGCTTTCCGCTATCGGTCAGTCCTGACAGTATTCCATGTCTAATCAAGTTCTTCGCATAATACTGACGCTTATCAACTGGGTACTTTGTGTGCTTTCATTTGCAATTTACTATGGACTCTACACTTGAATAGTGATCAGAGAGCGGTCATCTTCACATTGGTCAAAGTCAGTTACATATTTTACAAGTAAGCAAGCAACCGTATGTATATTCTAACAACTTTAGCTTTCCATATATTTGCACAAGCACACAAGATGAACTAACTGATTTGTAAATTGGCAGCCATTAATGCCTCTCGGAACAGACAAATCTAGAAAACAGTATAAATCTGCCTTCGTACTAATGCTGTTGCAGTCTGCAACCAGGCAAACAACATCACCACTACAGCTAGGATCCTCCAGAATAGTTGCAGTGAACATTAGGCACAGCATTAATCTGTGGTGTGTGTGCGCGTAAGCATTATTATTAATACTATTAACAATGTGATATTTAACGATGGTACTTGTAATCTTAGCTGTTTTTCACTGAGGACCAGATCTTTTGCCGATACTATTGGTACTAATTTTGACAAAAGAATTCTACTTAGATCAACTGGATAAGCTGCCGTTGATAGATTTCAGAACGAGCATTTCATGATCACTATATAAATCCAGAGACTGTAACGCATTGTAAGTTTGGGACCTTACTCACTCTTACCAATATTGCAGGGAAATGAGAGCTTTGTTTGCAGAAAATAATGAAATTTTGTTTGGATCTGTATGTACCATTAATCCTTTGCATCACATGACCTCTGGTCATCCCGGGGGGGGGCGGTCGGTTCCAATTTTGAACAGATAAATAAGTCATTTCATCCGCATTCGACATAGCGTACTCAGCAGTACAAAGCAAACAGAGAAATGTATCGTAATGCAGGTTGACTCCAAACAGACAGACAATGATTTGACTAACAACACACGCTCGGTCTTTGCATGTTTAGCAAATTGGCCTTTTATCCATACAAACTACGCTTCACTGAAGATGGCACTGCGTTAGATGCGAACTACATTCTCGCGCACTCAATCGCCACATTTTTCCCTTGGTGTCCAGTAACGACTTTGCTTGCATGTAGTTAGTTGCAAAAACAAAATTATTCAATCAGAGGACTAGATGTAGCCGCATACGTGACTTCCCATGGACCATCTTACTTGACATTTCTTCGGATGTTTATCATATTCTACTGTTTCCTCCGAACTAGTAAACTTTTTATGGTGGCCTATGAGCAGCCACCTCAAGCCACTGGATACACTTCCTTTACGCTTCTTAATCCATGGTTTCGGGGTGCAATATCGTAACTGTCATTCGCTAATTATCCTGGTATTAGACCGATCTTCTTCGGTTTACGATCCACAGGGAATTTACTCATCCGGGTCTCATCTAAGCCTGTATTTCTAAACTCGCTTCTGAGGACTATTTCAGTACAGCTCACTGAACGAATGCTAGAAGATGTTAGCAAAGAATGGCGCTAGCTTAACACTTCGTTGTTGATAAGCCACAAACATTCCTCCATGAGAAGCTAAATGTAATTGTCCACTTCTGTATACCGTTTCCATGCCAGAATTCCGGCTATATTTTTCAACTGTCCGCACGCTTGTGCCAGACTTCGTCCGGCATTACAATGAGCGAATGAATTGGACTCTGATTTGACTCTTAAACCTCCATGTCTGTGTCGTTTGGCAACATGTAGTTAGGGAATCGCAAACATCACAAAACGATGTGGAAGTCCCATTGATCGTGTCTACCTCCTGTATGGGACCAGGGTTCATATTTTACATTAAAACATGTGCACTCTACTCAGCTTGCTGTGAAGATATACTATCGCTGTACAAATTCTTTTGCAAGCGTTATCACTAATGAGAAAGAGTAAACTCCTGATACTACGATAGCTAGAGGAAATATACAGGCATTTCCCAACATTCATAAGCCTTTCAATTTAAGGATGAGTGCGTAAGTTACATTCCATAAGCTTGTGAAATTACGGGCTTGCCATAGGGTGCCACACGGCTCTAACCAACGCTTAGTAATCATGTGCAGTTGCCATCTGTCCCCACATTTGAGGAGTTCACCACAAACTGTCCAAGTATGGTGGTTAGGAAATTCCGCAATTACAGATTTCTCATATGCTTTTGCTAGATTATTTAACCATATCTTACTTCGGTTGCAGGAAGGACATAAAACCACATCTGAACACTTGCAAGAAGAAGATTGTGACTTACAGCCATATTGAATGCCATTAGTAAGGCTGACTAAGCGATATCATTGCCAAATTCCATCAAACTGATGTTGTATCAATACAGGATATATATTTCTACGCCTGATTAAATCAATGTCAAATTTGTATGCATGTGAATACTAAATCGCATGTGACGGTGTGCTAGTTCACCTGGCTCAGGCGGATTTTTTCATGCACCAAGTCACCATTCAGACATGACAGGGTGGAGTGCGCTATGCTTTAGGTCAAGTCGTATGACGAATATAATCTGGGGCAAGTCAAAGCCACCCTAATCGGTCTAAAGTGTTTGCGGCAACTTACACGGTCCCAGTTCATCGGCTAACATCTATGAAACACACTGCTGTACAGCAAAAATCGATGCCTATCCGTTAGCACCGCGTTTGTTTACTTGGAGCTTCTCTGTCCACTGTCGTTTCGCTTGTCATACAAATTAACTATCAAGAGTTGAACGGCAATTGCTTCCGTCTGGTCTAACGCGATGTCTATTATTTGCATCCACCTAATTGTGTGTTCAATATTTCAGTGATCCTGGTCTGCAGCGAAAACTTCAACTGGCTCTGGAAGATCTTAGAGTACATGGCTCTCCTGGCATCTCTCACTGTCCCGGGCCTAGTCACATTCGCCCACATTGGGTTTGTGAAGTTTGGCTGCGACGTTACCTGGGTCTGGCTCAACTTGCACCCTCCTTCGCTGTGCGTCGTGTTGATGGGCGTATGTTGGCCAGCTTGGCAATTTACAAAGCTTCCAAACGCACAGGCAGCAGTTTGACAGGAGCACAAATTGAATTGAAGTACCAAGATGCTAACCCAGTCCCACCTACCGGCGTTCTGCATCTGGCCAACACTCCCAACGGTACAGAACATGAGCTCTCTACGCCAATGAAAAATGATAGCGGAATTTGGCGAGGAGCAAGTCGGAAAGAACTGTGTCGTATCCTGCTGGGAATTAGTCGGGATAATTCCGGGAATGGCGCGAACGTGAGCGGAGCAGAGTTGCCTCAGACGGCCAAGCTTTTGCTGGGGAAGCGAGAAGCGTACAGTTTGCGGACGGGAATAGAACTTTTACGTCGGTTCGATTTCAACATAGAGGTGAGTGCTTGCTAATCCACCGTGCAATTTACAACACTAATATATCTAAAATTAGGTTTCGTATCACTTGGTGGCTCATTGATTGACAATTATCATCAACAGCAATAACTTGAGGAATTCAACGAAGACGACAACAATGTGTTTGTCATTGTTGTCAAAACATTGGGTTCACTCTGACTTCATATGCTCGCACAACCGTGAATTCAGCTGTGCGCTGAAATATGAAATGTTGCCGGCCCTTAATTTGCAAACAACTGCGGGGGGGCTATCCAATATGCCTGTTTTGTATGGGAAGTTAATTGAGCTTAACTGGTAGGAGCAGTAAAAAGTGGCAGAGTGCAAAACGATAAATAATTTTCTACACGCTTTTGACACAATTCTTATTTTCGTCAAGTCACTACAGGTTGGAAATATATTCTTACTTCCCAGTTAGCAGATCCCGAAGAGGAAGGTTAAAACTTTACACAACTCTGCAAGCAGTAACCCAATATATGCTTGGTCTTCCAATTAATGTGAAGGATTTTAAGTCCGCATATTGACGAAAAACCAACCAGTATTTCGGTCAGCGTATTTGCATTCGTTGTTCTATTTTGTGTGTGTAAATACTAAGCGCAGCTTGCAATATTACGAACTTCCAATCATAGCTTTGCATCATCATAATTCCGTATCAGTTGTAAATTGTTTCGTTTGCATTCAGTTGCTCCGTTAATTAAATGCCAGCTGTCAATGTGATTGAAACCATAGAGGATTGCAAGTCAACACCACTCTCTTTCCGGTGGTTGCCAATTTCGTGACCACATCTTTTTGAGTACGGAGGACTGCTCGTCCACCCAGTTCTAAACATCACACACATAGACCAGATTTCTTACTGAGCTAAGTGAATAGAGGGACGAGAACTGTTTCAAGAAGATAAACGTCCGCATTCCGGATACATGCAAATTCTATCTGCAATGAATCACTTGTCCACCAACGGTATGGAAAGGTCATCAGTAATGTGACCCAGAATGCAGCGTTGCAGTGATTCTGTTGTCATTATTTAAATGATTAAATGATGAATGATGTTGTGATGTTTAAGGCAGTGTAAAATAGATAGGATTTGTTATTTGTGGATTATTTGCATCAAGAGGGATGTGTTTCGGAACGTAATCGGACATACCACTATAGTCGTCGGACATTCGTGGGTAGCAAACAATGAGTTATCAAACAAAACAGCATTCAACCAACAATTACTTTGTCTGTGTTGAACTCGTTACTAATCCAACTCACTTGTGAAGTCTTTGGTTTGTGATAATTTGAACAAACGATGGTTGAGAAAATTTGAACACAAGTTAGTAGCGCTAACAGAAAGTAAATGATGGGTTAATTCACGCGACGCAGCTAGCATATATTATAATCAATAGACGGGACAAAATATATCAACAAGTTTTGAGTAACCGTTTAACCGCCACCCATTAAAAAGACCATTATGAATGTCGAACAACAGAAGCGGTTTTGCGCTATCCTAGTAAGTGTTGTAAGTAGTAAGCACATTAGACAGCCCAGCATACTAAGACCATCATATGATTACAAAATACCTTTATTGCTGATAATGGCATGTCTTTGTAAAAAAACGACTTCGTTGCAACTGCGATTACAGCAGCCAGGAAATATGCTATCTCACTTCAACATTGCTACGGTCCTTAATAAAAAGATAGGCAACAAATAGCTGCTGCGCTAATTGCTTAAGAAAAGTTTCGATTCGAATTACCAATTGTAATCGTGGTGTTCGTCCACTGTAAGGTGTTAATTTGATGTTTGCTTATATTTCCAATTTTTGTATTGATATCGACACAGACAGTATAAACGGTATGACCTCCAATTGGCGTGTGCTGGCTTTACTACCTTAGTTGAACGGAAAAGTTGCGTTTATCCAGCTCTACCGTACGATAGTGTTATGGGTATATAATCACTTGGAATTGCAAATAAAGAGGAAAGACCCATTTCTGAATGTTATAAAGAAAGCGTGCCATTTATCGAGAATATTTCATATGGAGATCGTTTAGCTATGCCTGGTAACTAGGACAAAACGACTATGAATTTAGCCCCTCCTTCTTAAGTGATGATAAATCCAATAAAAACCAAAACCTGTATATCAAAATATCTGTACGAATTTCAAAAATTCATTCAAGCACTGTCTTGCTTTGTAGCTTAGCAATTATTTTGATGAATAAATACTTATAGTCACTGTGCCTAAGTTGCACAACCCATCTTCGAAATTGCCCTGTTTCCCATTTTTCGTAGATGTTAGAAAATGCGCAACGACAGTGTGAGGATGTGGACGACAATTTACTGTTGTGGACTAACGAACGCGTGGCTAAGTGGTTGCGGGGTTTAGGACTTCAGGTAGGTTTTGTCCGGGTACTAACCAAATGTGTACAGGCAATGCGGTTCCCACTTAGTGGTAACAGCTGGTGTTGTCCTTGACGCAATGAGGATATATTGTTCCACTTATTAATGTCCGGCAACTTGATTACATACTGGCGTTGCGTAAAACAGGATAACCGCAAATTCTATTGTGAAATGCCTTCAGTGTGTGTGTTTAGTTGTGTGTTTAGAATCCGACATGCGATCCTTATTGGTACAGTGGTTTGCTTTGAATTATACTCCGGTCATTTTCATCGCTAAAACGGTGCCCAACCACACAACAGTTATTCTAAAACCTAGCACTGATTTGCCGACATATGCACCAGGCTTGATCAAATGATCACAGTGACCTAAGGGGCAGGAGCGAACTATTACCCGCCGAGTTCTACTCTCAACACTAACTATTGCTAAATGATAAATCCAGTCGAGTACTGAACCGGCCAAGGAGCGGTATCAGGAGCGAAACACGATGAAAATTCTCCAACCGTTAAGCACTTAAAAGGTTTATGTATCCAGGTACAAAATGAACCCGTTGAAGTCTAGACGCAGTGTGGCCCTTAGTTATCGATTTTGTGTTGTTATATAGATTAGCGTATACCTAGTTAAAGGCACAGTAGTTAAACTTTTGTCTCGTTCGACACAGTGACACACATTTACTGTTTTCCTGGAGCCTTATCTACCTACCTCTTTCATCGTATCAGCTGGAAATGCTGTTTTGCCATCAAAACGCCAATAGCTATGATACAAGTTGTGATTACGGTTTCATCCAGTCTACAGCGTACCGAGATTCTGCAATAATACCTGGTTACTTTGACTCTTAATAAAGAGGCTTAGTCAGCTGGCCATCACATTGGAATTCCTTTTCGTTTGTACATAACCGCCAATCTGAGCGCGTATTATCTTTCCTATGCAGGGCTATAAATAACAGACTTATTGTTGTCAGTGTTTGAGACCACTTCGTTGTGGTGGAAGAGCGTGACAAAGATAACTAAGTAATTTGATGGGATAAATCAGTCTTCTCTTCACTGGCCTGACGGTTACTACGGTAGAGGGGCTACTTCATTAGAGATGCATTTGTTTCTGAGAAAGGCTACCGAGTAAACAAATGGGACTATAGCATGAATAAAGAGCTAACCGTCCGGATAGCGTGGGCAGAGTTGCTGCTCACAGTATCCGCCACAGTATCTCGTCCATTGTATCTAAAAATAACTCACTTGCCCATCTTGCTCATTGAAGCCTTCCATGAACTCGTGCGTAGATTTGGTTAGAGTAGCATTCTTTCGTTCACTGTGGTATTGGCCTGGCACTTCTAGTGGACCCTGACCATCTGCTAGTGCTACCGTTCAGATTTGCTCTCTCGGTCGAACACCGTCTCCGGAGTGCATGCATACCACGAACTGACAAATGGACTGAACCAACTGCCCTGCCTCCGGTCTGCCTGCGATTCATTAAGCCATCCATTATACAGAGTCCACAAATTTAGCAGGAGGACATGCTCTTGTGTATGCTACTTCGCGCGTCGAAGTCGATTCCATTCGGTATTCCGTTATACTCAAGTCTGTCCCTCAGTGACTGCTGATACTTCATTTCAGTCTGAGGCTGTTACTTATAAGATTGCAAGAAAAGTTGACTAGGAAGCACATACAATGTTGGATACCTCACCGATACAGAGTGATTTATCTCTGAGTGGTTAAACTAAAGGACATACGAGATCGAGACGACAGTTCTAGCTCAACCCAAACTCTTGAACTAGCTTGCGGCATTGATAGCTTATGACTACTTGCTGCAGTGAAAACAAGATCGGTCTATCCTTTGGCGTCCACCATGCAACTCATTGGTGCTGGAAAGATGTTATTTGATTTGCTTGTTACGATTTGCCTATAAATGAGGAGGAGGACTATCATTGTCCGTGAGAAAAGCACCAACGCTGCAAAGACTTATGATGCTTTCCTCTGATTAACGTTAACAAGCTGAGTGTTCTCATTACTCGCCGTGAATGACATAAACGATCCTACGGTCATTCGGAGGGCGAAAAGTTATTCATTTTGAATTCATCTCTAACGAGTTACGATCTGTAGCTACTGTGGCAAAGGTTGAGCAAGGTACACTTTATCTTCTTGCAACCCGTTGAGAAATCCCTCAAACTACACAGGACTACCAACTCTAAATTCACGATGCACCTGCGGAAGCACCGCTAGGCCTGGCGGAAAAAACGAGTCATTAAGATAGAGCAAGTGGACGCTTCGGGAATTGCTGTACGCATTGCTTTCGGAGCCGATTCACTGGTAACAAAAATCCGACTGTAAACGAAGTTATGGCGAAACACGTGGTGAGCGAATCTACTGTAAACGATGTAAGCTTGTAGGTTGGGCTGATCTCTCGGAGTAGCATTTTAATTATTAAGTAACATTGATCACCACATCCTACTTCAAAGACTACAAAGTTACGGAATCGGAGATCCTTTACTTGGTTGGATTGGCAACTTCCTTTACCAACGAAAGCTTTAAGTACGTGTTAGGGGATCACTTTCTAACACAATTGAGGTGGAATGTGGTGTCCCACAAGGCTCAGTGCTGGGACCACGTTTATTCCAGGTGTTTATCAACGACCTGGCAAGGGTCATCTCTTCAAATTTCCTGCTTTTCGCCGATGATGTCAAGATATGGCGGGCGATTGGTAACAGGCCCGATCAGGATCTGCTTCAACATGACTTAGATTGCATTCACGAATGGTCAAAGAGGAACAAGCTTCAATTGAACATAGCTAAGTGCAAAATGATGCATCTGCGTCACCAGCCGGTGAGCACTTACAAGATTGGAGACCACATCTTGGCGAAGGTTTCTCAGGAGCGTGACCTGGGTGTATTGGTGCTGGAAGATCTCGGGCGTTCAAAATAAGCACAGAAGACGACGAGAATTGACAATCAACACTTCGGCCTTCTTCGCAGAGCCTTCGGTCGGTTTGAACTCTCAATCTTTCCCCAAATGCTTAACGCCTACGTGCGACCTCACGTGGAATATGCTATTCAGATGTGGCAGCCGTGGCAGAAACAGGATCTCGTTGCTCTCGAGACTCCTAGACAACGGGCAACCAAGAATGTCAGGGGCCTCTTTCATCTCCCCTATCAGCTTAGGCTGAAATCTCTAAGAATCTACAGCAGTCGATATCCGCTTTTGCGAGGGGATCTCATAATGGTTTACCAGATTCTGAAGAACCCAAACCACATTTGTCGTCCGCTGCTGGAATTGAACCCCAACACTAAACTAAGAGGTCACCCTCTGAAACTAACAATTCAGTATAGCCGGCTTGAATGTCGCAAAAGTTTCTTTTCTCTCCGCGTGTGCCAGCCTTGGAACGTCCTCCCTAATTATGTCGTCTCTGCTCCCAATCTGGCGATATTTAAAAAACGTGTTGACGATGCATTGTCTCACTTACATTTCATTTTATGACTTGTTAGCCAGGGGCTACAAAACGCAATCAAACGATGTCTTGCCAAACGCCTAACCAATGGATTTATAGATTTATATGTTTCATACGCAAACATCTCCGCTATTCCGCATAAGTCTATGGTGAGTCCACCACAACGCTTTTCCCTTTACCATGCAATTGATTTTCACAATAATTTTCCATCCTACGGGACTTGTTAAGCAACGCTTTTTTACCCGTAATAAACCATTGTTCCATTGTTCCATTGCTGAGTTGTCAGTCAAGAAGCTAGAGTGCTGTGTGATGTGTACAACCTTCATAACCATCTAAGCTTTAGATCACATATGAACTTCGCCTCCCGGAGCGCTACAAATCCGCTGACCCAAATGAACACCTTCCGACTCTTTTCACAGATGTAGGCTTATCACTCATCTGGGAGTTAACTTCCCTCCTCCAAGTGATTAGATTCTTCGGAATGATCTCGTCCGGTTGCAGCTCAGCGGATGTGTTGCCTGTCTTCAAAAAGGATGCTCGAACCGACTGCACTAACCTTTGCGAAATTAGTCTAATTTGCGCTTCGTCCAAAGTGCACACTGCTTTACTACTAAGGAGACCCAAATTTGATTGCGAAATAAACGTACGCGAAGAGTAAGCTGAGTTCCGCACAGGCTGCAGCTGCGTCGACCCCATCTGTACGATCCGCCAGATAATTTAGCGTGGTCAAAACTTTGGCCTACCAACGACCGTTGTCTACCTTTGACTCAACAGACCGAGTGGCGCTGTGAAGTTGTCTTTTGGATAGGAGAACGTCCGAGAAATATGTAAGGATCCTCCAAACTATGTGTTCTCGAGCTTCGTGCCCAGAGTGGTTTTATGGCAAATTTTCACCCTCTGAATATTTGATGGCAGTCTGGCTGAGTCTAGTTGTAAAGGTTCTTACAAAAGCATCCACACTAAATTCTTTAATACTCCCTAGCTACTTAGTAGTTAAAAAACAGGAAGGTGAATGTAATAATTTATCCCACTTTCAGAATCATTTTAGACTAAAATCTCCAGACGTCTACCCGCATATCATAACTGTCCGATGCTACCATTTCACTCGATGGAACAAGACTTCACTAACCACCTTAATCACGAAGAACACGTCAGCCGAAATGAGACTGAAAACCGCCATTTTATAAACAGATTTTTTCTCACTATCTATTTTGCGAAACGTCATGTGCTTTTCAAGTTCACTTTATTGGAATGGGGAGACTTCCGTTAACATTAAAAGAAGGCAGTTTGTACTGCTGATAAATCTAGACTCTTCTTCCCATTTGTTTGTGCTGAACTACAACTACTCTCAGCGTTGTTTCTATGGCACCAGTAAGTGACAGGTATTAAAGTCAGTGTATTTTCCGAAAACGAAGTGGGAAGATAGTGTTAAGTAGGGAAATACTGGTGATTAAGTGCGTCATCAAAGTTATTTACACAGTGTTGAGGAACATAAGGATTCGAATAGTGTGTTCCCGGGAAGGCATACGGGACCAGAAAACAATTTCCGTAGCAGTGCAGACGGCTGTTCTGTTCCGACAGTTTCAGGGATCAGTCTCTCATGGTGGCTTTAGTACGAAGTTTCAGCAAAGAACAACATACGCGATATGGATCACCCAAGAACAGACAAGTTTTGACGGATGTCCTCGCAACCGACGAGGCGGTGCGCTGGAAACATCTTGCCATTTCAGCTCCTGCCCTTATGGAAGGTCGCACATTGTCATGATGTACTTAAAAGTCCGAGCTTGAAATCGCTTCAAAGCAATGAGATTTTATTTAGTCCTGGCTGTCGGCTTTGAGGTGTGAAAGCGACGTGTGTAATAACCTAAGGGCGGGGTATTTAATGTAAATGGAGATGAGTATTTTTACTGACACTCGACTCCACAATTCAACGTGCTCAGTTCTGGCGATCCCGAAATCCACCCTATTGTTTTCAATCCCATTGGAATGTCATTCTATCCTTGATCATACCACATATGATTCACTGTGTATCGTAAAATCATCTATAAATATATCCTGACATTATCTGGGTTTTATTCTGAGTACCAGCGCGAACCAGATGTTAGACGGTTTTACTGTTGTCAAACATATGAAAAATTCCAGCTCTTTAAACTTTTAAGCATTGTTTGCAATAGGTTCCTCAAAAACTCAGACTCAGTGCTGGAACAACAGTTACTGCAAAGACTGTAGGCTACTCATCTTGCCTCATCGATCTTGGGCCGATGAAATGAAATAACTTGTTGACTCAAAAAGGAGATGATACTAGCATAGGGATGATCGATGAACTACAGGTCCGTGATACCGCAGTGAGTTCATGATTAACACCAGTCATAAAACTAATAGTTCCGTGTTGTGCCACAAATGTGTGTTCCCTGGATCAATCATTTTTGTTGGTTCCACTTAAACTTATCGTTTGTAAACTTTACTCCTTACTATGACGCTCCAGATTATCCACTGTAGCTACTGTCCAATAGCAGATCATCACGTTTCGCTTGCAGGAATTCACTCAAGGAATTGAAGGTACTGGCTTGCATGGAGCCTACATGGTCCTGGATCCTCAATTCGACACCAACCGCTTGATGAAATACATTCATTTGCCAGCCAATGTGGCTTCCTTGTATCAGTTGGATTCGCACTTACAGGCCCTGTTAAAGTCAGCAAGGTGAGAGAGCTTTTTTATCAATTGGGATGAAGGTGCGTTGAGGTGATAGGTGGCATTTGGTGAACATATCACGTATGGACTTAGTCAGACAATCATCATACTCCAAACAATGGAGTGGACGGGCGTTTCATCCTTTCAAGAATAGTCAGTCGGGTACAGCGCTCACTAATCCATGATACTAGGCCCTATTACCATAATCTTAAACACTATGGCTAGAGTCACTGAAATACAGGTGCATGGCAACGATAGATTTCATCAGCTTACTTTATGATATATATATATATATATATATATATAGGGTTGGCGGCTTTCGGTTTCGGATTTACTTGTCACTGTGGCCTCCACGGGTACAGCCACAGGACGCTTGCGCTTACTGACGGAGCATGGGGGGCTTCCGCTGCACTACGCATAGCTCCATCCACTCACCCCATATCCAGTTTAAAAGCCAACGAATAAGACCAGGAGGCATGTCGGTGGTAGCCACGTTTCATCAACGGATCTGCCCACACTCCTTCAACATGCACTGCAGCATTCCTGTCTAGCTGATTTGGCAATCATGCTTACCGGACGTACAGAAGGCGGTGGCCAGGCCGTAGTTGTTTCCACACTGGATTGAACCACCATTTCCCTTCCCAGCTACATTTAAACTTCTCGTGGAGCCATTAATGAAGATGGAGGGTTTACGACAGGTGAGCACCTTGTCAAAGTTCACATCACGCACAGCCAAGTACCTGGGCAACTGCGTCCTTGAGATAGTTACACCATTGCAGACGATGCACGGCCGCTGCTTTCCAACACCTAAACTCGACATAACTTATTGACAAACTAATCTTGCTCATGTCCCGGTAAATCCGATTCGCCCTGCACACTTTCCGCTTCCTAGTATTATGTTGGACATGCAGCGGATGTTTTAGCGTTCTCGTCGAATCCATTTGGCGTACATGTCCGAGTCACCTCAGACTGCGTTGTAACAGCAGGCAATGCATTCCGAACATGCCGCTCTGGCGACGCACTTGTGCCAGGGATTATTCCACATCATCAGATGTACCGCATCCGACGCAAGCACTGTTAATGAGAGAGCTTCAAATGTCTTACGGTTTTCATGTATAGTGTCCATGATTCGCCACCGTAAACAATTTACAGAACCTTGGAAGTTTACACAGAATCAGCTTGATCCCAAACGTCAATTTTGGATCTATCCAAACCAAATATTCCGGCTTGTCAACTGCAGCACCCACCTTCCATACGTGAAAGCTCAACCGACTGGTCATTTACACGTCCGTTTATAGTATGCTCCTGGGGTATTAACATTTATGGGATGTCACCAAAGCTTCATCAGCAATTTGAACTTGCGGCGGGCTCACGGATTCCATCACTGGTGAAGGCCGAAAATACCAAATTGTACCGCTTGTGTTTATGGTCAGTCCAAAATTGACCTCTGTCGAAGCTAGAGCACTAGTTATGTGCTGCAACTCATCAGCGCTGTGTGTAAAAAACGCACAGTTGTCGGCAAGCAGCAACATAAGGAAGGTTGTCTCACACACTAATCTTCTCGCCCTGAGGCGCCGGATCTTCATTAACCCACCAACAATACGGTATTTTAAACGGACATCGTATTCACAAGCAACATCACAAGCACAGGACATCAATGCATGACGGTAAATACAGGGCAGGGGCTAATATCGCGGAACTCGGTTCTTCAGAGACAAATGGTTTATTTAACAAAGCAGGATTAGAGAAAATGATAACATGATTAGGTTGTAGAAGCCTCGGTGTAAATAACTAGGTCAGTTCCATAACTAATGAAGTTGCTGCATGCATGAGATTCTTCCTTTGAATCAGTTAAACAAACTCACTTCAGCATTGCCAAATACGAACAGAGTACAGGAGAAGATGCGCAGGCCTCCAATCAACTGCTTCGTTCGCTTGCAGCAAGCTAGTCGCCTGCTTCGTCAGGCACACCCGTACCGTTCGTCTGTTTGTATAATCCCATCACATGCTTCGCTACTTCATGACCAGCCGCATCGATGTGACTGAACACTCCGTACACTCTTCCTCATCACGTGGTCTTTGATGCTCCATGTCATTGTGACCTCACCGAAAACCGTCGTGCGCCTTGCTTCAGTTTCATCTTCGCGTTCCCGATGTCGCCTCAGCTGCACTCGGTTCCTACTGATTTTCTTCCTTCTAGTATTGTTTTTATAAATTTTTCTCTGAACTTCGCAGTCGCTACACCGTTTTCCATCGTTCATCGACACCCGGGATTGTTTGAACCCCCACTTCCTCGTTTAATGATAGCTCAGCTAGCGTCTGTGTACTGCGGTCGTAATATCGTTTCTGATCGGTCATCCGATTACTTTTTCCTTTGCAGTTGTCCATGGATGGCAAGACCAGTAACAAACGTGCAGCTGACGCTGGTATTATGGTTGTTGTCCTTCTGCTGTACACATCTTGAACTGGACTTATTCCTATGTACGGTGACGTCACCAATTTCCAACAGCAACAGAGTGATTCTGGTCTTCGACAACAGCCTTTTGGCTTGTCTGACCGTTGCCATAACTTCTAAGTTCGATTGCCGGTGATACGGGATGTTTGTCGATGCGAATAATGTCTCTGATTTTTCCCGAAGGTTTGGAATGCAGCACTTGTAAATTGCGAGACATTGTCGGACAGCAATTCCTTCGGTATTCCGTTCTGGCGAACTGGCATCTAAGCATATTGATGACTGCCTCTGTATGACGCCTTATTTCTTTCAGGCGATCCACCGTTTCCGCCAGATGCAGTAACATGTTTACTGCCTCGATTTCTTCTTGCTGGTGTTCAACTATCAGAAGATGGGTACTGGACAGAGCGTCCGAGATGAACATCTGCGTCCCTGTGGTGTACACAAGATCCATGTGGTATTTTTGGAGCCGGACAAGAATTAATTCGAGACGTCGAGGTAAACTGAGCAGCGGTTTACTGGCTATTGATACGGGCGTTTTATGGTCCGCATACATGGTAGTCATCCTCTTAAAGGAGTAATCGTTAAGTCGCTCCATCGTGTAGACGACAGCGAGCATCTCCTTTCTGATCTGCGCATAGCACTGTTCCGCCGCTGTGAGCGCTCTACTGCGGAAATCCAATGGTTCACCATCCTTCATTGCAACGGCGCCTATTCCCTTTTGACTGCTGCCACACTGTACCACAAAATGCAAACCTGGAACGTAGTAGCGGATTACTAGGGCACAGCTAATGAGATGCTTGATGGCTTTAAATGCGCCACCTTGTTCTTCTCTCCAGCTCCACTCTACAACTTTGTGTGTCAGCCTCCGGATTAGCGTCGTGATTTCAACTAGGATTGGTAAGAACCAGCTCAAATAATTCATCATACCATTTAAACAACTAACAGTCTTGACGTCCGTTGGTTGTGGCGTCATCTGCACTGTCTCGATCTTTCCGTCGTCCATCTTTATTCCTTCAGATGTCAGATCGTGGCCACGAAAAAGCAGTTCCGATTTCAGGAGCTCAACTTTCTAGCCTTTGAGTTGCATGTTCTTTTGAAAGCAACGCTGTAAAACTGATGCAGATTGATGTCGTGTTCCTGGTCGGTTGAGCCGTACATCAGCACATCGTCAGCTACACATGTTACGCCGTCTAGATCATCAACAGCTTGCAATAACCGCATGTGAAAATTTTCGTTCGAGACAATTAAACCAAAAACGCCAGAAAGGTGTCGCAAACCTCGTCGGGAAACTGCATTTCTCATCAAGGACCATGTGGCAGAACGCCGATGAGATGCCAACCTTGGTGAAGTATTTACAGTAGACAAACGAGGCAGAACATCTAGCGTCAGCAGCTTGTATTGTTCTCTGCGTACAGCTTCCTTTAATGACTTGGAATCTATGCAAAAACGCAAAGCACCGTTCTTTTTCGCAACAAGCCCGACTTGACTAACCTAGTATGTCGGCTCGTCAACCTTAGCGATTACGCTCAACTGCGTCATGTTACTTAACTCAGTGGCGAATTCGCCACTTAAAGCAACCGGAACCCTTCTAACAGGCAGCGCAGTCGGTCCTATTGACGGAGCTATTAATAATTGAAAGGAAACTACAAAGATCCTCGAACTTGGGCTAATCACCGACGGATGCTGTTCAATAACATTGGTCTCCTATTCACAAACATGCACAAAACGAGCATGGTTAAAATGAGCAAAGCCAAGTGACTGGATGGAATTAACACCTCGCTTCAGTACGAAGACAACATCAAGGTCATCTGATACCACTCTGTAGACATTTAAGAAGACTTAAGAACTTACTCAGACAACCCGTCTGGCCGTGCACCAAATCATGAGCCTTGGTGAAGTCAACGAACAGCGAGTACGATGGCTAGTGTAACCCTCTGCATTTCTCCAGTAATTAAGGAGCCCTGAACTATATCACCATGGTGTCGCGCCCCAACGAGTATACACATCGATCTTTCGCCGCTTGCGTTTCGAAAGCCTGAGTGATGACGCGGCAAAGCAGCATACGTGCGATCACCTTCTCAACACAACTTAGAAAATGGATGCCATGAAGTTTTTGTAGTAGTATTTGCTCATTTTGCTCTTGTACAGTCGTAGAACAAGTGCTTTAAATAAATAAATAAATAACTATAAATGTGTGGACGGAGCCGCGGTTGGTGTAGCGCAAGCCATCCATGGTCCCTCTGTTGGCTCAGGCGTCTTGTGGTTGTACTACGGAGTTGGAAGTGACGGGCCAATTCACATTCAGATGCCGCCAACCATATCCGGGCGAAACGGTCATCTAGTTTTTCTACTTACATGTACTGGCTGCTTGCCTGAGCGTAGACATCATGAGTTAAATCTAAATAATTTATATCTCAATGCCATCGTTTAACTAATTGAATATTCGCAACAATAGTTAAAACTTCGTCACTTTTAGTCTCAGTCAGATATCAATAACACTCCAGGAAAAGCACTGTAAGTCCCTTTCATTAGCATTGCAATCTATTGCATTCCA